GAGGCTTTGAGCAACCTGGTCTAGTGGAAGGTGTCCCTGCTGCTGGCAGGGGGGTTGGGACTGGATGAGCTTTAAGGTCCCTTCCAACCCAAACCAGTCTGGGATTCTATGAAATGGACTTGAGCCACGCTCAGGTCTCGAGGCTCAGATGAGCCAAAGCAAATGAACAACAAATCATCCCAGATGTCACATCGCAGTGACCAGTTTGCAAGGAACTATTTTCATCAACTGAGATGCAGAAATATTTGTGCTTTAAGGACCAAACTGCAGAACAGAGGAGGTCAGTGGTTTGCTGGGGTGTCAGGCACCTCACCCGGGAGTCCCTGCAATCCCCACCAGTTCCCAACACCACACCAAATCCATCAGATGTGCCACCACCAAAGAGAAACATCTCCCTTGCCAAGGCTGCCATCGCTCCTCTGAAGCAGCACCTTTCCCACCCCAAGGTCATGGCCAAGGTAACCTCTTCCCACCACACCTCTGCCAGTGAGACCCGGACCCACAGTCACCCTTCTTACCGCCTTGTCCTCCAGCTTCTCCACAAACTCTTCTCCCGGATGCCCCGTTACTTTCAGGATCTGAGTCAGTTGGTCGAGATCTGGCAGGCTGAGTTAAAGATCACCCGGCTGGGAGTGAGCCCTGGACACCCCCGAGGAACCGTGGGAGCTACGAGCAGGTTCTGATACAAACCCAACATTAGACTGGCAAAAAGAGCTCCAAGGTTTGGTTTTGTTGTTTGTTTTTTTTCCTGGGATGCCATTTTCATCAACAGATCATTTTGCTGACACAACTCTGCCCATGGGCTGGGGGGATGATGCACGAGGGTTTGGGGATGGAGCTGTGGCCACGCAAGGTGAGATTGCTGATGGAGAGCATGTGTGGCCAGCACAGCAGTGTAAGGGTGGCTCAACCCCCTCCTATTTTTCTCTTTTCCTCACCAAAAAGACTGATCCCTGTGATTATCTCCTACTAAACCAGACCCACACCTATTTTTTCTCAGTAGCCTCATTTGTAAAAGCCCTTCTGCACACACCAAGGATTATTTACCCCTCCCAGGGAAAAGGTTCAGCTCGAAAGGATACAATCTTTTCCTTTAAACAGCGTTTTCCCAGTCAGCATTTCTGCCATGATGCAGCCAATAGACCAAATATCCACTGTTCAGAGAGAAAAAGGAGGAAAAAAACTGTTAAAAAAAGAGACAGTAAAAAGGAAGCGACGATTGCTGGGGCTGTCACCTGCTTTTTCAGTCTGCAGCAGGCACTGATTTCAATTTCACTCCCATTTTCCACCCTCCCCTGTTCTTTCTGTGCTACTAAAATCTCTGCTTTCATCATTTCCCGCAGGCGCTGAGCGTTGAGAGTCATCGCAGCAGCTTTGGGACTCGCTTTGCTCCAGGGGATGTTGATGATAAAGAAGAAAAACATCTGGAGGATTGACGTGAGATGTTGAGCCAGGCGTGACAGCGAGATCCTCGGGCTCGTCACCAGACAGTCACACCACTCAGGTAACCCAGCTCACCTGTCTGGTTGTAATGCATCCAGTTCAGAATGACTTCTGGGGCTCTGTACCAGCGCGTAACCACGTAACCCGTCATTTCAGCATCAGTGTGTCTGGCCAAGCCAAAATCCAAGATCTGCAGTTCACCAAAGGAAAAGGGGAAAAAAGGAAGAGCAGGAAAGAAAAGAGAAATCCTAGAGGCAAGTGAGAATCTACTTCGAAGAGGAAACGAAGCAGATTCAATCAGATAATAACAAAGCTCCAACTACACCACAGCCACCCACGGAACGGGTCGAAGAACTAACAGGTTTGTCTAAATTCCACTGTAAATTGCAAGCTGGCTGCAAAACCAGTTGTTGCGTGAAGACCCTGCAGAAAGGATTGGCCCTGTGTGCTACCTGGAAGGTCATTTCCTTTCTTGAAGCTTCAATTTCAACTCTACAAGATTTATTTCATTGATTTATTCTTTAACCTGGTGGCAAAGGCCATCACGACTCTTTTTTTTCTTTACAAAAACACCCTGCAGCTGACAGGGGTGGCTTCTCCCTCAATGACCCAAACATTACAGGTGACAGAGCCATTCCCTGTAATACACGTTACGGAAAACACGCGCTAGAGCATCGCACCAGCACGCTGCGAGCAGATCCTTCAGAGCCAGGCTGAAAATGAATCATAGAACCCCAGACTGGTTTGGGTTGGAAGGGACCTTAAAGCTCATCCAGTCCCAACCCCCCTGCCATCAGCAGGGACACCTTCCACTAGACCAGGTTGCTCAAAGCCTCATCCAGCCTGGCCTTCAACACTTCCAGGGAGGAGCAGCCACAGCTTCTCTGGCCAACCTGGGACACTGTCTGACCACCCTCACAGTGAAGAACTTCTTCCTAATATCTAATCTAAACCTCCCCTCTTTCAGTTTAAACCCATTTCCCCTTGTTTTGTCATTAACTGCCCTTATGAAAAGTCCTTCCCCAGCTTTTATCTGGAAGCACAACCATGGTGCCCATGAGAACCAAAGGGTAACTGTGGTTGGATCCAATTATCCTTCAGGGATCATTCACCCAACGCCAGTATTGCTCAGCGGTGTTGAATTCGATGAGGAAATCGTTAGGAACTGCTGTGCCGCAGGAATGACAGCGACAGGATGTTCATTCCAAGTCTTGAGCCCTGATTCAGCAAGTTGCATCAGCAGGTGAGTATTTCCCACTGACTGCAACTGCCAGGTAATGAAACACCTCGAATCGAGGCTCAGAGGGCAAGAGGAAACCTGACGATGCCTGAACACCAGGCTTCCTGCTGGCAGAGCAGATCCTCCCATCCCCCCTACTCTGTGTGCTACAAATTGGGTGTTTCTCCACCTACCTTCAGCTGACAGTCTTCATTCACAGCCAGGTTGCCCGGCTTCAGGTCCTACAACAGCCAAGAGCAGAATAAGAAGGATGTTTTGATTTACAACACATGAACACGAAGCCTCAGCCAAACCTTTGCTCATCTCTGATGTGGTCCTACAACATCCCGAGTCCAGTATTGATACAGCAAAGACACCACACCTACTATATTGTGCAACTTGAGATAAAAATTTATCATTAAAAATAATAAATTTCCATTTTTTATTGTTTCCTGAAACAGTTTTAATTCAAAAACCATCCAAAACTGTTTCACAGCTCGTCACAAAATACATCATTCCCTCAAAATGCTGCACAAATGAGCAAATCCAAACATGGTTGGTATATAGGAGGGAAAAGAGGGAGGACACCAGAGAGACCTTAGAGCAGATGAAGCTATTAGTGAAACGATGTTCAGGAATTGATTAACTTTATGACCAAATTGTGTTTCTCCTAAATAGACAAAAACCAGAGTGACAGCAGACGTGAACTCACCCTGTGGATGATTCCGGCTGAATGAATGTACTGCAATAAAAAGAAGAGGCACAATGTGAGCACCAGCAGACAAGATGTTCTGTTCTCCAGCAGAGAAAGGAGAAATATGGACAAAAACTCGCTGAGAACATGACTCTGCATCTGCTGCAGGTCCCCAGGGCAGCAGTGTGAAAAGAAATCTCTGCCCTGAATTTCTGGCAGCATTTGCAGTGATATCATCAGTCTGAAGAAGAGGAGAAGAGCAGAAGTGGAGGTGTGGAGCAATAGTTCCTTACAGAGGGGGAACTAGTAGCTTACAACTATCAAAGGCATCAGGATTACAGGTGGACCTGGTCAGTAGGTGTTGGTTTGGGTGTGAAATTGTGAAAACTTTTTTGGTTTGGGTGTGAAATGATATGAAAAAATAAAAATAATTTAAAAATCTCATCATTAAACCACAAAATTGGAAATCAGATTTGAGTTGGAAGAACTGACGACATGACTGTGATCACTTCAACCTTCTGGGTGTTCTTCCTCCCCTTTATTTAGACCCAAGATAACAGTGATCTGGGGAAAGGTGTGATTAAGATGAGCTCATTAGTGCCTGGAAGCCGCTGCTCTGGCTCCAGGTGAAGGAGATTAGCGGGCAGCATGAGGACATTGTCTCTGCCCCTCAGGGTTTGCAGTGGTTGCTTTCTGCTCTCTCAAAGCCAGTTAAAGCTGCATGTTCCTTCCTTATTGTAGTGAACAGAAAATCATTCTCCCCCTGAGAAGCTCTGGTGGGAATTCAGCAGCAGCTCCCGTCACTACCAGCCTCCTCCTTTCTACGCAGAGTTTTGCGAAGGGTTTGGGCAAGTCAAAGAGCAACACAACTGCTGTCAGGGAAAATAACCATCGAGAGGTCCATGACTGCTGATTGCCTTGATATCTGATTGACTGATCATCAAATGGTTTGGGTTGGAAGGGATCTTAAAGCTCATCCAGTTTCAACCCCCCTGCCAGCAGCAGGGACACCTTCCACTAGATGTGAGCCAGCAGTCATTTTGATTGATGTGTGCTGGAACAAGAGGACTCCAACAGCAAATATCTGTCCTCAGGGGATGCTATAAACCCCCCAAATCTTCCTACACAGTGTCGGAAGGGGGTTTAGTTATGGTTCACCCAGAGGTGACGTGTAGAGGAGACATGGGGAGTCAATAAACTCCTCCAGACCCACCTACCTTCAGCCCTTTCAGCATTTGGTAGACCAGGTACTGGATCTTTTCATCACTGAATTCATGTCCCATGATCTTTTGTAAATCTGTCCGCATGTATGGCATCACCAGGTAGCTAAAAGGCAGTAAGACAAGGCCCTGAGTCTAGAAGAAAAACACAGGGAACCAGGCTAGACTTGTTCTCACTTGGGTTTTGTTGGGTTTTTTTATCGTTTGGCTGTGTAACTTCCTGTAACTAAGACAAGTTGTTGTGTCCATGTTGCCAGCAGGGATGGTGGGATCTCAACCTGCTCTGAAAAACTGCCCTTTCTCCTCCCCTCAAATTGGATATCTGATTTCAAAGTAAGAACAAGGATCTTCCAAACTTTAACCATCCTGATTTAGTTTCCTTTAGACCTCAAGTGATGTTGGAACTCCAGGTGGCCTTATACCATCTGGGAGCTGAAATATCTCGTGCAGCTTTAAAGTATCTCACAAAACTGCTGCCTTGGCTCCCAGATTTATCTTTGTAACATTCTCCAGCCCTATCTCAGAAGACAACATCTAGTTTCCTTCAGTCTTCACCTACCTGCTGAGACTGCTAGTTAGTTGATGGTCTTCCAGCAGGAACTGAACTAAGAACCTTCAAGCACTTTCCCTGCAGGTTACTAAATACCCAACCACCAGCCAAAAACCCCAAACCCTACTCATGCCCAAGGATGGGGAAAGGAAAACAACTTCTCCAACCTGACCATCAACATCAACACAGGGAAATCCCCCTCAAAAAAGGAACAGCCAGAATCACAATGGAAAAAAAAAGCCAAATCTTTAAAGCTCTCCATGGGATTGCCCCAGGGCCTGATGGACAAACACTTCTCCTACTCTGAGTGCAGCCTCTGAGCTCAACAGTCACACAGGCAGGGCGTTAGGATGGGTCACCATGGAATGGTGACCATGGAACGTCATTGCCTCTTCCCTACGTACAATGTTCTCCCAGCTGTGAGCAGTGTGGGATCTGATTATGGATTCTGGGTGGTTCAGCCACGGGAACTACTTTGTGCTTTTGATTCTCCTTGTTATTTGGAGAGCTCTGGCTTTAGTCTGGTCCCTTTTCAACTCAGTCTTGTTGAACTGCACCTCAGCCTGATCCCTTGTCCTGCTGCTAAGTCACCGTGTCTTGGGCAAGGGCTGAGTCTAAGACAGATCAAATGCAAACTCCAAACTTACAAGTCCTGGAATCCCTGGTAGGAGGGGGCAGAAGTGAAGACATCAAGCAGCCCAATGACCTGATGGAGAAGAAAATCATAGAATCATAGAATGGTTTGGGTTGGAAGGGATCTTAAAGCTCATCCAGTCCCAACCCCCCTGCCAGCAGCAGGGACACTTTCCACTAGACCAGGTTGCTCAAAGCCTCATCCAGCCTGGCCACAAACACTTCCAGGGAGGAGCAGCCACAGCTTCTCTGGACAACCTGTTCCAGTGTCTCACCACCCTCACACCAAAGAATTTCTTCCCAATATCTCATCTCAATCTCCCCTCTTCCAGTTTATAACCATTACCCCTTGTTCTATCACTCCCTGCCCTTGGCCAAAGTCCCTCAAGAAGTCCACATTTAAACCTGGAAAGCATTTGCTGTGCACATGGGACTCAGGTAGCAGCTCTCCATCAGCACACGCACATGAGTGAGCACCAGGAACTCCATCTGAGGCATCCGAGGACTCCTCGCTATGCTGTGCAGCTGCTTTTCCTCTTACTAACACATGGGAACACCCATTACACATCTGCTTCAGCCTGGTGCCAACTGGGCACAGCAGACAGGTAGCAGTTAAACCCTGAGATGTGCCAAACGTTGGCACCTCTCAATTAAAATCAAGGTGATGCCACCAGAAAGGACTCGCTCCCAGGTGACAAGAAAATCCCCCTCATTTCACCAGGAATGGAGAAAAACGAGCACTTACGTTCTCATGCTGCATGTGCTTCAGCAGCATGAGCTCTCTGTACGCTCTCTTGGCAAAGATCTCTGACTGGAACGGGCGGCAGAGCTTCTTGATGGCCACTTTCTCCCCTGTCTTCTTGTCTATGGCTGAACTGCAACAGACAAATAAAAAACCAGTTCTGACTTCGGCACAAGGTTTTAACAAATTTTGCAATACCAAAGGTCTTCTCCTAGAGAAGAGCTGATTCTGGAGCTGATAGAACAAATAAAGGTCCCTTGATCTTTCCCAGTGGAGCTCTGCTGATGTTCCCCTGTATGACTGTGGGCAGCAGGTGAAGCCCCTGCTCTCTGGAGGGCTGGGTGGGACACCAAGCAAAGTATTAGTGACTCATCTTCATTCCCCTTAACGTGCAGAAATGAGCTGGAGCTAACAGAGCTGTGAGAAGAGGGAAACACATGGTTAAAGGTCCAGATCAGTTCTACCTCTGCCTTCTCCTTCCCTAACCATGGAGATAAGGGAATAAAGCGATTTCTGCTTTGCCATCTGCCCGGAGGTCGTTGTCTTTTAAGGAGGGTCACCCTCCTTCGCTGTGTTCTGGAGCAAAGGCAGCGGATGTCACACACTGAGAACACAGGTTGGCTGGAATGAATTCTCCTGCATTCGGGATCCTTGATGCTCTACAAATGCTTGAGAAAAGCAGGTCTGGCTGAAAATGAGTCTTTTCTAAAGCAAATGAAAACTTGGTACGACAGCCACCGCTGGAGACGTGACGTGCTGCTCCCTCCAGTCACATTTACTGGTTTGCAGCTGGACACGGTGATCCCACGACACTTTCTCTGCTTCTGGAGGGTTTTTGATCAGGCTCCAGGTTTCACCAGAAAAGAGGAGGGGTGGGAAGTCCTCAGGCAGAGGTAACTGTAATTTGGGATTCTTGGTGGTGTTTTCTGAGGAGGAGTCCTCTGTGCACCCCATTACACATTGGTGCCTCAGCCCTTCCTTCACCCCTCCAAGAGTATCATCGAGTCCCAGACTGGTTTGGGTTGGAAGGGACCTTAAAGCTCATCCAGTTCCAACCCCCCTGCCAGCAGCAGGGACACCTTCCACTAGACCAGGTTGCTCAAAGCCTCATCCAACCTGGCCAAGAACACTTCCAGGGAGGAGCAGCCACAGCTTCTCTGGACAACCTGTTCCAGTGTCTCACCACCCTCACACCAAAGAATTTCTTCCCAATATCTCATCTCCATCTCCCCTCTTCCAGTTTATAACCATTACCCCTTGTTCTATCACTCCCTGCCCTTGGCCAAAGTCCCTCCCCACCTTCCTGGAGCCCCTTCAGGTACTGGGAGGCCACTAGAAGGTCTCCCTGGAGCCTTCTCTTCTCCAGGCTGAACAGCCCCAACTCTCTCAGCCTGTCCTCACAGCAGAGCTGCTCCAGCCCTCACATCATCCTGGTGGCCCATCCAAGAGGCAGATGAAGAAAGAGTTTTCACTGCCAAATCTCTCTGAGAGTTTCCAGAACGGTTCCCCTCACGTGGTAAATCCTCATCTCATCTCCTGGGGAAACAGAAGGGCCATAAATCAGCATGTTGAGTTCCACGGATTTTAGCTGCTCGGGGTAACCGAGCCCATGTGAACACTGGCACCGGCGCTGTGCACGCGTCCTCCAGCCTCCCATGGACACTTCCCTCCTGCTTCCTTCTCCAAAGGGACACGTGATTCACCCCATCACGGTCCCCAGCAGCCAGGCTCCAGCCACTGCTCCTTCCTTGAAGCTCTTGGAGGAGCCAAGATGGGGAGGGGCAGGTGCCATAAAGCTGTAAATGGGAGGACTCGTTCCCATGACCTCCATCACCACCACGATAAACAGGGAAATGCCACCTGTAACTGTGCCACCAAATGGTGCTTGTCACTGGGTTTAGGGAGTAGGAGAGGTGGGAATATCCCGCTCCGAGTGGCTTTCCCTTGGTTGAGTGCTGAGGAGGAGTTATCAGTTCCCACCTGCAGGTCTTGTAAGTCTCTGGCACAGCTTTCTCCTGTGGTCAGCCACCAGCAATCAGTTGTGGTGTGTCCTCCAGGCTGGGCCATCAACAGCTCTCATCAACCTCCCTGATACCACTGGGTGATCTCCCTGCTCTTGGCCGCTGAGGTCCCTTCCAGTTGCTCCAAGTTGTGCATGGTGAGAGCAGACACATCCTTTGGGAACTTCAGTGTGACGGTGATTTCATCAATGCAATCATCTGAGAAAAGCAAAGGAAGTGCTGGAACAGCTACAGGAGGTGGCTTCAGCGCTGAGGATGTCACGGGGTGTCTTAGGAGGACAGGGAAGAGTTGTCTCAGTTTCAGGACTTCAGCAGGTGGGGGGACACCTCTCAGTGTAGTGTGAAGTTTTGAGTGTCCAGCTCAGTGTCAAGTTTTCCAAGGAGCCAGGGAAGTAAGAGGAAGGACTTGGACCATGTAGTCAAACAGCTTCTGCAGAGTTCCAGGCAGATTTCCTGCTCTGAGGGTGCATGTTCTCCCCTGCCTTCCCAGCTGCTGGCCTTGCAGAGCATCCAACCCCACCACTCAGCACAGGAGCTGGGCTGATGGAGCTTCAGCCTGCCCAGCATGGACAGCATTACCTTCACCCTTGCCATAAGGCCCAGCTAAGAGTTCATTCAGCTGCCACAGCCGGGGAGAGGCCACCACGTCCTGCCCAGCACAGGTTTAATGAGTGGCTGAAGTCCAGGATGACACCGGGCAGGCAGAGCTGTGTCCCTGCCTCACCTGCCAGCGATCGGCAAGACCAGCCTTGGAGGGCTCAGGAGACTCTGGAAGCCAAATCACTACAGATTTTGGCAGAATGAATGAAGGAAGAAACCCATCTTTGCTGTTTTCCTGGAGTTGGTTCCTCAGCTGCTCAGGGTGGTGTAACAACCAGCAGCTCGGAATCACGCTGCCATAGCAAATCTTCCCGGCCATTCCCAGCAGAGGACAGCAAATCCAAACTCCACACGCTCCCACCTCTGCTTTGTGCAGGAATCTGCACCCAACCCTCCCTGGGAAGCACTGTCCATGCCACCACCACCACCCTGGTCCTGTTTTAACACCCATCCTGAGACCTCCAGAGCAGCCCAGACTTTCACAGGAACCAGTAAATGATTTGTTGTCATCTTCTTTGGTTTTCTTTTTTTCTGGTGAACAAGGAAACTTTGGAAAGACTTCTCTTCCCTTTTTTTGTCCTGTCTTTATTTTCTTTTAGCCATCCTGCTTTCCTTTAGCCATAAAACCCCAGAAAACACCGTGCAAATATTGCAAGTTTAGTTTTGTCTGATTTTGATTTTTTCAAAAATGCCAAGTTTAGTTTTGTCTGATTTTGCAGGACTCGTTTAAAGCATCTCAGAAGCTTAAACACACCTGGAGAGCAAAGTGGGGAAAGGAAACATCAGGTCCCTCTTTGTAAATAGGCAGCCAGGGGACAAGGACAGAACCTGGGCCCCAGGGTTTCAGGATCCGTGTGTGACAGGGACAGAGAGACTTTGCCCGACGCCTCCAGAAGGGGACACGCCTTCTATTTTTTTTTAATTTATTTATTTAGCTCAGCGTGTTATGAAACAAGAGCTCCACTCAGATCCCATCAACCAGCTGCTTCATCTTTAAACCTTGCAAAAAGTCACCAGTCTGACTCCAGTTCACCAGTATAAACCAAGCAAGATCCAAGTTGTACTTTTGCTCTCACTCCAGGTACCTTTGCCCAACTGATTCATGAACAGCAGCTCGTGCTGCTCCCTCGTTTATCACCAGCCAGGAAGGAAGCCCCAGGCTGCTCCTCAGCCAGGTTTACAATCGTTTCTATTTGGTTTGTGATTTCAAGCCAGAAGGAATATCAAGGTGGGGATTATATTGTCCAGCTCCTTTCCCCAGGCAGCCCAGCACCACCTGCCTTGGATGAAGCAGCGAGGAGCCACCCCCGCTCCAGCACCCACCTCTGTCAGCAGCTACAAACTTCTTTCAGACACCCAGGTATTTCCCCCCGCCCCAGAAGTCCTCTCATGATGCACACTCAAAATCAAGGCAGCTTGAAAGCTGCTGGACCCCCAAAGTCAAGATGACACCCCAACTTGCCTTGTGTTGTACCTGCCTACCTGCTCCTGGAGCTGCTGCACCCCCAAAATCAAGGTGACACCCCAACCTGCCTTGTGTTGTACCTGCCTACCTGCTCCTGGAGCCGCTGCCCAAGGACACCCAGCGAGGTGAGCTCAGGTGGGCAACACTCTCCTCTGAGCCCCCCCGAGGTGACCTCAGGAGGGAACATCTCCATTTCTTCAAGTGACCAAGTCTCCAACCCGCTGTTAAAAGGACTCAAAGCACCTTCATCACCCATGCAAATGGCCTTTCCTAATGGAGGGGTGTCAACAAGCACCTCCTCATTCCCCCCCCCCAAC